CTGGTGACTGGAAGGATGAAATCCAGAGGTTGAAGAGTTTCCTTGCCACACAGTTTGAAGTAAAGGATCTAGGGCCTCCCAGATACTTCCTTGGAATTGAAGTTGCCCGCTCAAAAAGGGGCATCTTCATTTCCCAAAGGAAATATGTCCTAGATTTACTTCAGGACACTGGAAAGATGGGAGTGAAGCCAGTTGACTCTCCCATTGATCCCAACCTTAATTAGGTGACAGCCAAGGTGAACCTATCAAGGATGTGAAACAGTTTCAAAGACTTGTAGGGAGATTGTTATATCTCTCTATGACCCGCCCAGACATTGCGTATGCTATTGGTGTCCTTAGCCTGTTCATGCATGCACCTAGGTCCACTCATCTTGAAGCAGCATAAAGAATCCTCCGATATCTTAAAAGGTTTCCTGGTGCTGGCTTGTTATTTCAAAGACATGGGCATTTGAATGTTGAAGTGTATACTGATGCAGATTGGGCTGGATCTCAAAATGACTGAAAGTCTACTAGTGGCTACTGCACCTTTATAGGAGGAAACCTTGTTACCTGGAGAAGTAAAAAGCAAAGTGTGGTGGCTAGATCCAGTGCTGAAGCTGAATATCGTGCAATGGCTCACGGAGTAGCTGAAAGTATGTGGATAAAGAATATGTTGGGTCAGTTGGGTTTCCTAGTGGACAAGCCTATGACCCTATTCTGTGATAACAAAGCAGCCATAAACATTGCTGCTAACCCAGTGCTACAAGATAGAACAAAACACATCGAAGTCGACAAGCATTTTATCAGAGAGAAAGTCATCACAGGTGAAGTGTGTACTCCCTATGTTAGCTCTGAGAACCAACTTGCAGACATCTTTACAAAAGGACTACACCACTCAAGACATCATGATCTTTGTGACTAGTTGGGCATGATTGATATCTATGCTCCAACTTGAGGGGGAGTGTTAACAGATGTTATTTTATATATGTATGGTACCGCAGGGGTACTTTTGTAATTTCTTTCTTATTTTTAAGTTGTACGGTCGCCCTAGTATAAATAATAACATACTGCACGCCTGCAATATTCTTTTGGGCTCTCAGTCCTCTCGTATCTCCTCTTCTCTCTCCCTTTCTCTTGTACAACACCACCTATCCTACAACCTTCTTTCCACAACCTATTATTCCTTTCTTGCCTCCGTTTCTACATATGATGTCCCTAGGTTTGTCCTAGAAGCTTTATATAAGCCTGAATGGCAGGATGCTATGATGACAAAACTAGATGCTTTGCATAAGAACCATACCTGGGACATTGTGGACTTGCCTGAGGGGAAGGAGTGAGTTGGTTGTAAATGGGTATTCACTATCAAGTATTACTCTAGATGACTTCATCCAAGGAGATTTGGGATAGTGTTATAGAGGTAATGCTGACTTATGTGAGGCTGCATAGAGTTGACTAACCACCACCCAATTACTGTATAGTTCTCCAACATCCATTTTTCATATGTGGGATTAGTCTCTTCCGGTTTCTTCTTATTGCCTGTAAGATACCCTAGTTTACCTCTACTACAAACATAAATCCTTACAGATTTTGCCCAAGCCAAGTAATTTGTTCCATCAAGTTTAATTGTGGTCACACCAGTCAAAAAGGAATCTATTGGACCAACCCTGGACATTGGAATCTGCTTCAACTCACTTCCAGATTGCTCCATTGACCAAATGAAAATCAAAAAACAAGAATTTTAGTCTATATGGACCTAATTGGGGTCAGTCCAGTACCTACAAGTCCCAAAATTAGGGTTTCACTGTACTCGGCTCCATGGGAGAATAGGGAGAAGAGTCAACACCACACATACCAGAGCTTCTCAAACTCTTTCCAACCTCAACAGCCCTCTTTTGGAGATCAAAAGGAACTCCCCAAGCACTGAGCGCCACACCCAAAGAGACTTCTTACCCTGTAACTGTAAACTCTCTAGTCAGCTAAGGTTTTGGGCAAAAATCAGCAACCTCACTTTCTTGGCAATGTATGGCCAGATTCTAACTCTCCAAACCCTCTACCAACTAGGCACAAAAGTTCTCTGAACAATCAGAAACTCATCTCTCCATACACTCTTCTAATCGAAGGATGTATGGGAAAAAAAAGGAAAAGAGGAAGGAAGGAAGAGGTGCTCTGATACCAAGATGTGATTCAGTCCTCCAAATCTGAGATTAGTTTCTGATTAACAGCAACAAAAAGAAAAGAAAAAAGGGGAAAACAGTAGGAGAAAGGAGGTTGAGAAGAAGAAGAGAGTTCGATAGTTATCTCTCTCCTCTAACTAATCTTTTATTAATCAGACTTAATCAAGGTTAATTACAAGCCTGCCCTTAAGTGGGCGGCCAGCTCATCAATAACTTAAAAGAAAAATAAAAAGAAGCTAGCAGGCCCATAAAGAAAGGCCCATTAATGCATAAGTAATAAAAGGAACACTACTTAACAAGAGAACAAGCACTAGGGCCTATTCGGCCCAGTCTCTCTACAGAGCCCAAATTGGTTGTCCTTCATCCATTTTAAGGGATGTCTGCTTCAGCCTCTTTGAATGACTTATCTGGAGCACTTCAAAACAACTGAACAAGCTTACTTCAGCTCAGCCATTCCATATGGGCCGCTAAAAATGTGCATGTATGCAATGTTTGCATTTTACAAATTTAGAGAATGCAGTGGAGAGTACTTTCTGCCCAAAAGGGGCCATTGCCTGGTGCAATTCAAATTATAAAATATTAAGAAACTTTTCTAATATGAAAGTCCATGTTTGATATCTTTCACAAAATAATGAAACTTATTTTAGTTACTAAGTTTAGAAAATTTGGTCTCTAGTCATCATTGTCTAGTTCTCAAGTTCCTAGGTGAGCTTTGATATATTTGCTCAAGTATTTGAGTTCTCAGTGGTTTAGGTAAACCCAGCAAACCTTTTAATTATATTTATTTATTTCATTTCCCTTTCTTTGTATCTTTTTTCATTTTTAATGGTTAGGGATGTCTTAGGAAATAAACCTCATAATTGTAATTGCAATAAAGTTAACATCTTAGTCTTTAGAATTGATATGAAGATTAAACTACGCACGCCCTTCATAGTCAGTATGTAACCTACTTGATTGGTTTGAAAAGAATTATTCGTGTAGATGGATTCTGCAGATAAAGTTTCATCTTTGCCATCACTGTAGGCAACTCTTGCTGAATACTGGCACCAACCTGCTCCAATAATGTATATGATGTTGGTCAGTTTAAACTGAATGTAACTTGGACACCAAATAGAAAAAGGCATGAACAAGAAATAAATTGTCAATAGGCATGAACAAGTCCATAAATTGGAATGGTGTAGCATGTACAAGAAAGACCAAAAACATCATCAATGAGAAAGAATGATTTAGTGCAAGTATAGAACTGACAAAGTGAAAAAAGATTTGAATCTCAATTCTTTAACAGAAAATATGGCACTAAATCAACTGCAAATGCAGGGAAGGGTTCATGCATCTCAAATAAGATTCAGATGATGATGATGGTTAATATGAGCTTTAAGAAATGTGTGAATACACATCATCATAATTCTATTGATTATGTCCAGTTTGCATGTCTTGCATATAATTTTGAATTTTTTAATTAAAAAGAAATTTATAAAAGGAAAAAAGAGAATACAAAAGAAATGATGACAAGCTAACCCACAAGAGGAGAAAAGCCTCAGAAGCAACCAATAACAAACTCTTACCAAAACAAGCTACTTTATCCCCTTCCACACTTTTTCTTCATATTCTGAAGCAAATTGGTGTTCTGCATATCCAAACTAATAGGGATGATAAGAGTCTCCCCCACCAAAGCTTTCTGAAAGCGCTTTCAACTTCAGACCATTTCTTTTATAAACATTGAACTTCCTTAAAGTTTTTTGTGGGACCTGCCCCAACCAAACCAAACTTCGACCATGGGAAGACTTTAGTAACGTGGACGATGTGCATCTTACCAGAAGCACGAGACTTCTTAGGAACCACCTCAACAACATCAGCCTCACTTCTCTCCTCAATTTTCCTCTTGCGACCCAGATAAACTCCCAACTTACTCAACCGCCACTTCCTCTAAAGATAGAAGAACAACAGATGGACAGTCTTCCTAAATAGCCATTTTCTGCTGTGACATAGCCTCCCTCTATAGCATCTTCAGCTTCTTTAACTTTCAGATGAGCTTCAACTTCTTCCTCATGGTCCTCTTTTCTGCCCCCAACCCTGACTCTATAGTCTACCCCTTCAACTTCTTCCTTTGTACTTCTCGAATGCGACTCCACCAGAGCAAGAACTCTTTCTTGAAATGGCAGATCACCACCCTTTTGAAAGATTGAGGCAGTGTTTGGGAGTGTGGTGAAACCACAATATATTGGGTTTCAAACCACACCACACCACACCACACCTCATTCAGCCATTCAGTTTTGGTGTGTTGTGGTTCGAACCCACCATATCATGGTGTGTTCCTCGCCACGCCCAAAATATCGGCCACAGGTTTTTCTTGTGGTCTCAACCACACCACAAGGCACTATAGCCCCAATGCTGGTTACGGTCTTTGAAGGCTCATTAGTGCCTAGGACCTAGGCGAGGCACATACCCTAAAATGTGCCTCGCCTGTGCACTTAGGCATGCCTTTTAAAGTCATTGCTCCAACCAGAATACACACATTAACTAGAATTTTCATTTAGCTGCATACATTCAGATTGTGACCCACAAAAAAATTTACCTTCTTTGTATCCTTGTCATTTTATCATTTTTTCAACCAATTGCGTATAAACCAAAAACTTTGACCTTCAATTGTTTAATAGTAAAGCACTCATTCTATATTAATCCAAGAAAAAAATTAATAGTTACAGTAGTCGATCAAGACTACAACTAGTCTTGAATTCGAAAGCAAAAGAAAGATGTCAAAAGAAAAGAAGAAGAGAGGGAGAAAAGAAGAAGCACACAAAAGGTTTTTAGAAAAGAGAGAGAGGGTCAATCATAATGATCTGCCGACCCACTCTTAATATTTATATATGTTGACTAATTGTAAAAGGGCTGAATTGCCCTTATTGCTTACATGGCAAATAAACTAATAAAAAAGCTGAAATAACAAGCTGTAACAACAAACTGAAATAACTACCAACTAACACTGACACAACTAACAAAAAACATATGCTATGCTTCCATATGAACAGTGGGGACCACAGCAGTGGGGTCCACATCAGTGTTCTCTACAACATCAGTGTTCTCTACACTCCCCCTCAATCTGCCTCTAATTTCTTCCTTGGAACAGCCTTGGTGAGAAGATCTGCGAGCTGCATGCTGGAGGTGATATACGGGAGACACACTTCTTGAGACGAAACCCTTTCTCTGACAAAATGTCGATCAACTTCAATATGTTTAGTTCTGTCATGCTGTACCGGATTAGAGCTATATTAATAGCAGCCTGATT